CTAGAATCTATGTACTGTTTATTTCAACTTATACACCATTCTGGAAAAGGCAAAACTATGGAGATAGTAAAAAGATCAGTAGTTTCTTATAGTGGAAGCATGATTTTTTTAGATAGTACATGATTTTTTTAGTATAGTACCCTGAATGGTACTATAATGGTAGACATGTTATTATAAGTTTTTAATGGCATATGCAATTTTTTTTTGCAGTGTTGGGAATCAAATCCAGGACCTTTTGCATGTTAGGTAGGTGTTCTACCCCCAAGCTGTGCTCACAATCCTTATCACTATAAGTTTATCCAAATTCTTAGAATGTACAATGTCAAAAGTAAACCATCAGGTAAATTATGGTCTTTGGGTAATAATGATGAGTCAATGTAGGTTCATCAGTTTAATGGATGTATCATTTGTTGGGGGGTGTGGATGATGGAGGAAGCTATACATGTGATCCAAGTTACATGAGAAATCTCTATAACTTCTGCTCAATTTTGCTATGAACTTAAAATTACTTCTTAAAAAATTGAGTCTATTTTTAAAAATCGAACTTATAAAGATAAAATTACCATGTCTGAGATAAAAAATAATATACTGCTGGGATTAACAGAATATTAGACGTTATAGAAGATAAGATCAGGGACTGAGGAGATATAATAATAGAAACTACACAGAATGAAATGAATTGTGCTATGGAGCAAACTCCAGCAACCTATCCTCACATAAATGGAGCCCTTGAGGAAGAAGAGAAAAGGGAGGAGATGAGATGTTTGAAAAAATAATAGCTGAAAAGTTTCCAAATTTCACCAAAAAAAAAAAAGGAAAAAAACACAAAGATAATATTCAAGAATCCTGTGAAATTTAGGCACACCAAAACAAAATTATTTTAAAACATATGATAATCAAGTAGGTCTGTTTACACCAGCATCACCAAAAAGAGGTGGGGAGTATGTTATACCACAATGTTATGAGATCACCATGTGATAGAACATTTTTAGCTTCCTTATAACCTTATGGTACCACCATGGTATATGTGGTCTGTCGTTAAACATCATTAAGTGGCACATGACTGTACATTCTGAATGAAGTAGTAGGTTCATGAGTATACACATTTGTTAAAACTTGTTGAATTATATACTTTTTGTTGTTGGAGACAGGGTCTCACTATATTTCCCAGGCTGGTCTCAAACTCCTCTGCTAAGGTGATCCTCCTGCCTTAGCTCCAGTGTGAGGACTATAGGTGTTGCCACTAGACAAGACTGGATTGTGTCCTTGAATGGATACAAGTCTAAACCCAATAAAGTTGCTTTTAAAATAATAAATGAAAACAGCATATCTGGCAGATGCTGTGATTTGGCTCACTCAGTAATCAATCCAGTTTTGTTCCAGAAGTTCTTATTGTACTTCAGAGGCTAGAAAACCAAAAAGCATATTTTCCAGATTCTCTCATGTTAAGCGTGGGGCTTATTTAGTAAACTTACTTATATTTAGGAATAGAGTTGAGTATTGGGAAGGGCAGAGAACAAATAGCCCTTTCTGCTGGTGTGAGTCACAGCCAAGGCAGTGAGTCTCTGGAGCTGGTCCATGCTTCTTGATGCAGGCAGGAGCTGCCTTGGGGATCCATCTCAGCTGAAAAGTTTTGTGAGTAGTCCTTAGAAATGGGCTAGACTCTATTTCTAGTCCATAAATTAGTTATGCTCAATAATAATTACCTTCTTTCTTCAATGGAACAATACAGTACTTTAAATAGATGGGGAAATATCACAGTCACAATATCAGCTAGTATAAGACACTTATCAATGGTCCTTCTATGACTCACTGATACCAGACACTCCACTTAAGTACTTTCTGTTTATAGCTCCATCCACTGAAGTTTTCATGGATTTCCACTGTAGACTTCTGTGGTTGGTCCAGACATATCATCATTTCTGACGTATTTCCTAATACAATTTCTAAGAACTTTTGTCTAAACTATTGGATCTTTTTGTGGAAATATTTTCCAATGCCAAAACAACAGAACAGTGGATCTAAGCCCATTCCATCCTGAATTCCTCTCTCCCCACATTGCAGCATTGCAAGGCAGTGTTGATTTGTCTTCTAAAGCAATTCCTTTCCTTTGACTGTTCCCATCTTTAGTTTTAAGTTTGGTGGAGGACGAGAGTCAGGAAAACGAGCTTCGCTTCCTTGTCAGTTCTTCTGTTCTTTCTCATTAAACTCCTTGTCTTCACTTGGAGGAAGATAACTGGCTTCCTCCAGCGCCAGACTCCTGGGGTGAGTAGCAAGAACAGTAGGACGGTGAAGGAGGTGCAAAATGTTCTCCTGCTGTCCCAATCCCCTCCACGTGTCCCTTGCCTCTGCTTCCAGGTGCCGCTCATTCTGTTTCTATCTATTCACTTCATTTTCTAAAGAAAACTATTGTCTAGATGATTCACACATCTCGAATTTTCTCACCCATCTAAATGTAAACTCAATCAAATAGCTTCATGTGACTGTTGAAAACATCACAAATGTTAGGGAAATTACCAACATCACTTTAGTTTCCTAAAAGCCATGTTTCACCACATGCCAAAACCCAGCAGAGGGCATCCTTCCATTTCAGATGCATGAGCAGCAGGAAAAAGGCTCCACAATGCCAGCACTGGATTCCTTGACAACTGAACACTGGGATTTCAATAATGGGGCTGTTGTAGTTGACGGGGAGGTATGTTTTATAAGTCATTTTTTATCATATAAGTTATCATTTGCCATTTTGAATTGTAGGTTTAGCAGTAACACAAAACTAAAAGGAGAACAAAAAAAAAAATCTGTTTCTGGACTCTTTCCAGGTTTGGAGCACTGGATTCAAATTGCATTATCAGGGAGGTTGCACCTGCATGACACTTTCACCCTAAGTTTACTAAGTGTGCAAATAAAGTGATCACAGAGAAAAGGCAATTGAGAGGGGAACATGTGCCTGACCTCATTGGTCCACTGCACTTTTTCATCCCCCCAGCTGAAAGAGCAGGACAGGCATTACAGCCTGTTATAGTGTCTCAGAAGAAGGAAGGAAGGAAGTCTGAGGTTTCTGGATGGGAACAGGCATGGTCAAGAGCAGTCTATAGGGTGGGGTCAACCTGTGTGTGAGGTTTCGTACAAATCCAATGAGAAATATCTTATCTTGTCAGAATTTTTCCTGAGTTGAAAGATGAATGCCTATAGCCCTGGTAAGTTATATTCTCCCTGATGTAATTGAGTTTATCAGATCCTTTCTTTATGGATGAAAGTCAGGAGGGGGAGGAAAGAACATGAGAAAGCAATGCAGCATAATTCACCCATCCTGTCAACACAGCCTTATTTGGGCACCCAATTAGTGCCTAGCCTACTGGGAGCATTAAGACAGAATCATCAAAGAGTCAAAAACCCTTTTCCTCCAGATGATGTTCCAGAAAGCAGGGGTTTGGAATGTCAAATCTAACATTGTGTCATGGCCCTGCCTCTTGGCTAGCTTTGTCACTTGAAGCAGAGAAATTAATTTTTTCTTTTGCAAAACAAGGATTATCATTAGTATTTCTTGAAAACACAATTTGTTAAACAGGCATAGAAACTAAGTACTTATATGTATTATCTCATAAAATCCTTACCATCAGCCTGTGAGATAAGCTCTATTATTATTCTCATTTTGTAAATGAGGAAACCAACAAGCAGTCACAAGTTAAATATCAGAACAGGAATTTTAATAAGGCTGCCTACCCAATACCAGTGTTCCCCTCTTAACCAGTATGCTGTCCAAGTTATCCTGAGGATTAGATAACTGGTGGAAACACGAGGGTACAGAATAGTGTTATTATTATTATTATTATCATTAGTTTTTATCACTATTATTATGGTTTCCTGTAGCCTAAGGGTATATATTGAAATACACTAAAAACAGGATCAATACTTCAAATCAAAATTACTGTACTCCAAAATGTAGCTGATGCCCTTTGGTTAAAATAAGAGTGCTTAATGTCCTCACTATGGAATCACAGCTGTTTGGCATTTATCTTTCCATAAGATGAAGGGCTGCCTCTAACAGGTATGGCTGTAGATGAGATATGAGAACACACATTCCCCGAAACAAAACACAATCCTCTCCTGCTCTGGATTTCTCCATCTCCTCTGGAAAGCTAAAGGTTAAAGTCAGAAGCTAGACAAAACCAAGGTGCAAGTACCCTTCACAGTCTCCGTTCTATGATAAAGGATCATGTCCTCTGATGCAGCTCTCAGTGGGTGCTGGTGTCCCTTGGTGCTGTCTCCTTTTCCAGACCGCACTTCCCCAAGCCCTTGCCTTGGGCTTCTTACCCAAGCGTGCTCACAGATCAATGGGGTTAATTACACTTAAAAGTATTATTCAAAGAGAAATGAGTTGGACATATTTTGTTGCCTGCTCTGAGAGTTCTCTCTGCTTACTGCAAGCCTGAATTTATGTTTCACACTGCACTACAAAAACCAAGAATAATTTTAATGATTTATTATTTCAATAATAATTTATTTTTTTTAAATTATTATTTTGATAATAAACAAGCAGATAAAATTCAGATCCCAGGCTCCATTTCCTATCTATCTCATTTCAAGATTGTCATCTCAGGTTCATTGGGAAAGAAACTGGGTGTTTGATAATAGGGTATTAAGAGAACACAAATGCATAAGCCTCTCATTTTTCTTATTTGTAATGAAAGAAAAGGTAGTTTTATACCACATCAATCTTCACACTGCAAAATTCAAGTAACCTGAACATTTAAAAAATGTATTCAAAAATGCAATTTCATGCTGATTTTATGTCACTGTACTTTTGTAAGGCTGAACACGGTAGCAGCACATCATTTGGGACAGACATAAATGCTTCAATCCCTTTGGTTAGAGCTTCAAAAAATATCAAGTGTCCCGGTAGTTATGTTGCAAGTCATCTTGTTAGATAAGCTTACATATTTCTCTCAGCACTGTTTGGGGTCTATGACAAAGGATCTCTTCCTTGGCTGAGTACTTACCCCGAGATAATTGCCATCAATGAACACCACGGGGAGGGACGGAGCTTCCGAAACTCGCCGGCACCTTTCATCTAACTCTTTTCCATATTCACCATTCAGAGCTATGTTTTTCTCTTCAAATTTTACTCGATGGTTTTGGAAGATCTTTCTAACCAGTTCACATCTCTCGAAGGTTGTCCTCACCACTCGAAGACAAGTGGTATAAATCACTACGCGGTCAAATTCTAGGTCAGTTGATGGTTGCTGAAGGGGAAAAAAATGCAGTGTAAACACATTTCTTTTACTTTCCCACATCTTATTATCATCAGACAATTAGCAAGTGTATTATACAAACAACATGCAATAAAAGTTGAATGGGTACCTTATTTATAAAGACTTGTGTTTTTTTTTTTTTAAGTTGGAACATTTGTAATTGAGATAGGACTACTATCATTTAAATGACACACTATAATTTCTTTCCTTTCAAGTAATGTCCTATCTGAAGATTGGCAAAGTCTCAAACAAGATGCAACATGGTGAAATAAGGAACGGCTGAATTATTTCTGATGTTTTCTAGCAATTTCTATATCTGTGCCTTAAACGCAAAGTATACTGAATAGGAAAGTTTAGAAGTTTTAACCAGTTGGAAATTCTTTTACATATCAACTTAGTGAATTTTCATTGTCTTTTGAGCCAGGCTTTCCTGGGAATAATAGGAGCTCCCTCATAAGGTGAAATAGCACAATACAGGTAAATGTGCTCTATTGAGTGACAGGGCGGCAAGGTGCAGTCTCTGCCACAAGGAATAGTGATTGACTGGACCAGAAAGGGAGTTCACAGAAGCCAACAGAAGTGAGCCCAGAGTTGCAGCCAGGTACCTAAACAAAACAAACAAAAAAGAATTCAGACATCAAGAAAGTGTAGGAAAGCAACATTCAAAACTAAGGCAAATAGTGCCTTATGGAAGAATCTCTGTTTCCTGCTAAATCAGGAATCAGTTACTGCTGGCCTGGGAAACTCCACAGCACTGCTAGAGTGAGCTATGGGGCCATACTGGGGCAATGCCAGCAGGAAAGCTCCTGTTTGTCCTTATCACGGGCTTACTGAAAGAGACTGAATAGGATATAACTATACCCTGAGGCCAAGAAATACTTGAGAATCCACAGGGCTGTGGTTGTTAAAAATGTAGCCTGATAGTGTGTCATGTAACTATGTTGTATATCAACATAATTTTTTAAAGTTTCCGTCCTAAACCTCAAATCATGTAATTAAAAATTTGCCTGTTTGTTTGTGACCTAATTGTGATTCTTTTATTAATAAAAGGTAATAGGAAAAGACCCTTTATTAGGCTGATGGCCAGACCTACATTTAATTTTCCTGCATTCTATGAGAAGTATTAAAATACCAGAGTATTAAAAGATATGAGGTATTTTATTGATAAATCTATCCTTCAAAAGGAATGCACTTTAGGATATCATCATTTTGATGTGAATCGTGTAAATGTTGATAATATGCTGTTTATTATACATTTAGTGTTTCAAGATATTCACTGAATTGCCTTTTTGCCCATGTGTATTATGTAGTCTATTTGGAATTTTATTTTAAATAATGACATTAAAAGAGTAGTTTAGGTAGAGAAATACTAGTGAATGTTAATTGTCTCTCCAGCTGTATTTATGGGTGTTAGTTCAACTGCTTTGCTGGTTGCAAAGTTGTATTATCAAAGTAAAGTGTATTTGTAAACTGTATGGAACTAAAAATTAGTAATAAAACCATTTTCTTAAAAAAATAAGAAAAATATAGCCATATAATTTGCGATATCCCCATGAAGTCAAAACCTTGATCAGAAATCATTTCACACAGCTAAATACCAAACCAGCCACATTAACCATCACTACTTTGTATTTAAAGAAATCATATCATCTGCTAAGATAGATACAAATGCACGGAACTAAGAACATCTAATGTTATGAAGATGTCAATACAATGATCTCTACTTTGTGGAGAAAAAAGAACAGGTTTTTTTTTTTTCTCTAACAATAAAATCTATTCAAGATGTAAGAATCATTTCTTCCCTCAACAGAATATAGATGTTAAGTTAAAAACCCAGAGACCTGTAGGGGCTAAACAGGTGTCACAAATACAAAAGCAGGTCAGGACTAATAGAGAAATTAGGGACAGACAGGAAAATGGCATCCATAAGAGACAAACATTACACAGCTTCAGGCAATTGTTGGCTTGCATACATGTGACCCCCATGTGGTTAGACATGATTTATTTTATATAGAAATTAAAATCTAGATTTCTGTAGGAAATGTTCTGATTTCTGAATGGTTATACCTAATTAAAAATGTTTTAAAAGACCAATTGGACCAATAAATGTCCTCTTTTCCATTACTATAACAAAATACTTGAGATAATCAACTTATGAAAGAGAAAAGGCTTATTTTGGCTAACAATTTTGGAGGTTTCAGTTCATGATTGTATGGCCCCATTTATTTGAGTATGTGGCAAAGCAGCAGATCATGGCAGAAGTATGTAGTGAAAGAAAACTCACTTCTTGGCCAAGAAGCAAAAGACAGCAAGAAGGACATGCTCCCAATGACCTCAAGACCTCTTATCAGGCCCTACTTTTAAAGATTTTACCACCTCTCTCTACTGCCCCCTTGGAGAATGAAACGTTAACACATGGGCCTTTGGATTACATTCTGGATCCAAACTATAGCATGGCATAAACTGCCAATCTATTTCCACTAGAGAGCATGGGCTTGAAAATCAGATAAACCTAGGCTCCGTCCCCAGCCATCTGTTCTTCTAAAGAAGAAGCACAGGGGGCTGGGGATGTGGCTCAAGCGGTAGCGCGCTCTCCTGGCATGCGTGCGGCCCGGGTTCGATCCTCAGCACCACATACAAAGATGTTGTGTCCGACGAAAACTGAAAAATAAATATTAAAAAATTCCCTCTCTCTCTCTCTCTAGAAAAAAAAGAAGAAGAAGAAGAAGAAGCACAGGAACTAAAGGAAGCACATGAACTCCTCATTTGAAAATGTGATAATAACAAAAGCAACCTAACAGGGTTTCTGAGAAGATTAAGTAAGAGAGACTATGAAAACAGCTATTGTAGGGGCTTGAAAGATAGTGGTGCTCAATACAGAAAAATACTAAACTTCACACCATGAGATTTTGCAGTTCAAACTTGAACAAAAATAAGTCTGTGGAAAAGACCAAGATAACTGATGACACAAAGATGGATTCTTACTCTGCTTAGATTAAGAAGCACTAATTTTAAGAGGAAGCAACCAAACACCCTCAGAGTCCCTGGCTCTTCTCCATGCTCACAGTCACAAGTAAGTGAAGCACCAGGCTCAATGGGGACCTGGCAGTTTGTGGAAGAGCATGGGTGTTCTCCTTCATCTGATCCTGTTGAGATTGTTTTACTTCTTCTTCCTCTACAATTTACTTCTCCTTCACCTTCTTTTTTTATTCTTACTTAAATGCTCTAGCTAGGACTTCCAGGAATGCTTGAGTAGAAATGGTGAGACTAGACAATCTTGCCATGTACAGATCTTACCTATCAGGAGGCTAGCTGTGAGCTTTTCATGAGTGGCCTTTGTTAATGGTGAAGAATTTTCTTTCTTAATTCTATTTTATTGAGATTCTTGTATCATGAAAGGACATTGAACTAGATGCATTACATTTTGAAGAACTATGTTATGATTACATAGCTTGAAAGACAAAGTGGATTTATGTCCATTTAAAATAATGCCTATGGGCTAGGGTTGTGGCTCAGCAGTAGAGCGCTCACCTAGCACATGCGAGATGCTGGGTTTGATCCTCAGCACCACATAAAAATAAATAAATAAAATAAAGGTATTGTGTCCAACTACAACTAAAAACAATACTTAAGAAAACAAAATAAAATAATGCCTAGTCATTCATTCAGCAAATTTATTTGCCAAACACAGTGCTGGGCAATAGGTATATAATAATGTGCAAATAATATAGTTCCTTATCAACATGAAGCTCAGAGTATAAAATAATAATAAACTGAACAATTACATAAGTATGGAATTATAAACTGTTAAGTACCATAAAAGAAATGTATAATTAGAACATTTTGCAGCAGTGCTGTCTCTTCTTATCTTAGAAGACAAGAAAGGGTTTTTTGAGTTCAGATTGGAAGCACAGGAAAGAGTCACAGAAATTAACTAGAGACCATGGGAAGAAGGTAGCTTCTCTGAAATTCTTCAAAGGTCATTTCCTGAAACAGAGAGGAAAAAAAAATAGGAAAAAAAATGTACTAAATTAGCCTAGACAGATATGCAGGGCCAATATCATGTTGTATTTGATCGAGACTTTAAAGATCTAGAACAACGGGAAATTCCTAAAGGTTTCTATGGAGGATGACAGAGGCTGCACTGAATGAGGTTTACATTTCAAAAAAGATGAATGGAGAAGGGCCAGCATATGTAGTTGCACACAATGTGCACTGCAAAGCCCTAGATAGTGCTGGAAGAATCACAGTCTAAATAAATGATTTGCCCAGAGTTGTGAGTCCACATTTTTGTGCAATCATACTCAGTCTCGTCGCTCACCCCCTTGCCTAAGAACCATATTGAATGTGGGGCAAAGGTAGCATAGAAAGTATGGCTGTGTATTAAATGGGGTATCCAATATAATGTCCTAAAAAATATCTTATTGTACATTTTTTATATGGTGTGAAGTAGGTTTTCCTAGAGGTAGAGGTAGATCAGATGATTCCGCTAGATCTTTTCCAGTTTTATAATATGAATTTTAAAAGATATTGTCTTCTTGGGAGGAAAAACAAATCCTCTTCTACATTTGTTCCATTTTCTTTCCCTCAACAGATTTGTCAAAGCATCTGGCCAGAAATCTAAAAATAGCTTCTGGATGGCTCGCCTTTCCTCTTCTGGCTTCCTGGGGGTTACCATGGGAATAGTGTAATGAGGGGTGGAAGCAGGTGAGCAGCCAGAGAAGCCACTGGGATTGCAGCCTGCTGCTTCTCAGAGAGCCACCGAGAGGGTGATAAAGGCAGACCATTTCCTCTTCTCGGTTGATTAAAAAGATGAATCAGGGAGGCCTGGAAGCCTCACAACAACCTGCAGCAAACACACATGGATCAGGATGGAAATTGCTAAAAATGAGAATAAAAGTACCAAAAGCTGACCTATGTCCTCAGTCTGCCTTCACCCTGCAATGATGGCCCCTGTGAAACAGTAAGTCCTTCCATCACCCAATCATCTA